AAAAAAAAAAATAAAAATAAAATTATTGTGTCATTCAATTATATTTATCCAAATAAATATTAAAACATGGAAATGAATTTTTAATGCAAGAATATATACATATATATATACCAGCTAATGTTATGGATTTATTGCACAAAATTTATAAAATTATTAATATAATAACAATATGATATGATATGAAAAAAGTTTCAAACACTGTTTGAATGATTTTAGAAAAAGAATATCGTAATAATATATAGACTATTTTTTTCTTTATGATTATTTTCTAAAAAATTTTTTACGTCATTGATTTTTTATTGTAATATATATATATTTTATATTGTCAAATAAAATATATATATATTAAAATGCATTTAAACTTGATCATATGACATTAAAATAATCTTGAACATGAAAAAAATAAAATTTTGAAACGATATTAAATATATGAACTTATATAATGTTATAAGTAAGAAAGTAATGTTGAAGCAAAAAATCATGAATTATTTATTAACATACAATAGATAAATTTATCTATATCTCATTGTATTATTGGAAAAAGAATAATTAATATATCTATAAATATTTTACAATGAAGTATTCCAAGCAAGAACAAATTGAAACAATTTTTATTTATGATCAAATTAATTGATATTTAAAAGAAGCTATATGAATATACAAAGGACAATTTATTAATCAGAAATTCTTCCTTATATTCAAATTTATCAATATAAGAATCAATATAAGAATCAATTTATCAATATCAATAAATTTATCAATATAAGAAATATTGAAAATAAGAAACACAAAATAAAAAATAATACACAAAAACACACATAAACACAAAAAATGAGAAAATGTATAAAGAGTTGATGTTATTTGGAAATCTGTATCCGTTAATATTAAATGACAGAACGAAATTAGTATTGAATATTAAAATATATTAAATTAGTATGAAATGTTGACTATATGTTTCAATAAGTATGTTTCAAGAAGTTCATCCATTTTGTTCATATATTATAATATTTATAATATTATAATATTTATCTCAAAATAATTTTTAATATCATATTAGTGAAAGAATAAGACAATTCTTTAATTATTTTTAGAAAAAAATATTTGCATATATAAATAGTTACATATATCATATAAATACATAAATACATAAAGAGTAAATATTATTAAAAAGAAAATAATTATTTTTTTCATTTAAATTATTAATATTAATATAATTAAAATTTTTACTATTATACATGTAATATTAAATATTAAATATTACATATAATAATCTTGTGTTGATATTTAATATATAATTTATTATATTTCTTAAGTACATAATTTAAAATTTCAATAAAAATCATTTATTTTAATACAATTAATTAAAATTTAAGATTTAAATAATACAATGATATCTCTATTGCCAAACATTTAGAATTTTTTTAAATGAATAGAAAAAAATAATATTATGTATTTTCTATTCTATATATATAAATAAATTAACAAACATCAAAATAAAGTAATAAAATAATTAATATTATTGTATTAGTTATTTAAATTAATGAATAAATAATAAAAATAATGAAATTTTGGTATATAATTTTGAGAAGTTACAAAGTAACATTTAATATTAAATATTCAAATTAAGACACAATTTATATCTTGATTTTCAATATTTTCAATGTAATTTACAATGATCATAAATATATTAATGTAGTTTAGTCATAAAATTTATAAGTATATTTTTTATAGTTTTAAATCTATAATATTAAATCTAATCTTTATTCATTTTTTCTAATTGTAAAATTAATTATAGAGATATTAAATTAATCTTGATTGTAGAAATCAATTCTTTTTGATTTTTTTTTATTTTAATTTTTATTTCTTTTTCGAATATTCATTATAAAGTAAATATCAAATATAAATAAATATATATAATATAAATAAATATAAGTAAATATCAATAATAATCAAAATCAGAATATAAAAAATTTTTCTATTCAAAGATACAAAGTTGAAATTTTTATTCTCTTGTAATAAGAAGAGAGCAATGAAGAAAACAATATATCTTCAAATATATAATAATATATAATTATATAATAATAATATATATAATAATATATAATATTTTCATGCATTTTAAAGCATTCATAACATCATAATAGAGATAGTTTTGGAAATCAGGAGATAAATCAAATCATTAAAGAAAAATAAATATTTGTAGAATATTCATTAGTCAATATTACAAAAGAAATAAAAATAATAACAATAATACAAAATATAATAATACATTTTAATCAATATGTAATTTTACTTACTATAGTTTGTTAAATAGAATAATTTTTATGTTTATGTTTGCAATGCAATATATTTCTTATAAAACAGAGATTGATCAATTTATTTATAATATATGCAGATATATATATTATATATATAATTAAAATACGTTAGAATCTTAATATTTTTCATTTAATCTTCTTTAGTTTTTTTGTAGTTAACGATCTTATTTTATCTGCTAGTTTCAAAAATATTGTTAATATAGTATTAAATATCTAATGTCTATTAAAGAAAACTCCGTCTACTCATTCGTCTTAATTCATGATATTAATATCTAAAAAAATTTGTTTTTCATTTGCTGCATTCCTGCTGCATATAATCGGTAAGTGCCAATAGTTATATAAGTAATAATAACTATATATATATAACAATATAAATAAAGTATATATATAGTAGAACCTCAATTATCTAAACCTTAATTATCTGATTATTTTTATAAAAATTTATGGATATATAAATATTAAGATATACAAATTATAATAAAAGTAATGTTATAGCTTGAACAATAATATAAATAATGAACAAAATTATTGAAAAAATAATATTGAAAGAAAAGAATATTGAATATTGAATATTGAATATTGAAGAAAAGAATATTGAAAGATTTCTAAACGAAGAGAATAATGAAAAATATAATATCTAAAGATAATACCTAAATGATATTCTCGTGCATTCTGAAATATTCATTGCATTAGAGATAATTATTAGTATGAAGCAAGAAAGATTTTCGCGAAAATATTATTAAATTTGAAAAGTATTAGACAAGAATTTTACAATTTAGCAATTTAAAAAGATTAGGACAAAAATCGTTAAAATATATATATATATATATATATATATATATGCAATATGAATAAATATGAATAAAAAAAAAGTAATATATAAAAAATTATAATTTTTCATATAATATAGTCATGTGAATCATCCAATTATTCGTAAAATTATTGTTTATTATTTGTTGATTATTTTATGATTTTGAAAGATTAGTTTGAATAATCGAGATTCTATTGTATTAATAATAATAAAAAAAAATTTGTACAAGATGGCTCAAATATTATCATTTTATTATTGATAGTAAAAAATTTTTTAAATAGAATTGAATAATTTAAAAAAAGAGATACTCTAATATTACGAAATTTTTTAGCATAGAGAATATATAAAAGTCATTAATATTCTTTTAAATGAGATTATATTTTTTCACTGCATCATTTGATATAACCTGATATTTTCTATTAAGAAAATTTAAAATAAAAAATAAAAATTATTAATTTAGAATATTTTAATTTGAAATTTGTAAAATTTATTACAATTATAAAGAAGAAACTTAGTATAACCAAAGGAAACATGAATAGTAGAATATCATTTCGCATATTTCTTGATTTTTATAAAGTAAATTTTACAAATTTCAAATTAAAATATCTCTTAAATTAATGATTGGACATATTTTAGATTAGACATATTTTAGATTATATAAATACGTTAATATATTTTTTTTATAAAAAGAAAATATCAAATTATAATTGATAATATAATATTTTTTTTTTTTTTTGATATATAATAAAAAATATGTGATCCTATTAAAAATGTTACTGACCTTTATATCTTTCCATTTACAAAAGAATTATTATCACCAAAATATATATATCTTAATTTAAGCTATTCAATTCCATATGAAACATTTTTTATAGATAATAATAACGATAAAAATCTAGATATACGATAAATCTAGATAATAGTATCTGATAAACTATCCTGTATATCTATTCCAATTCATATATCTTCGATTAAATTTCTTCAAATTTTAATTTTTAAATTTCTTTACTATTTATAATATAAAACATAAATTTTATAAATAATATTTATAAAATTAATTTATAAAATAATTTTATAAATAATTTGAATAATGAATCATATAAAGTCTAATTGATAAATTTTTGTGAATATTTCAGCTCTTCTCAACGATTCTTCAGTCTTAATTGAAGGAGTGTTGTTTCGAGCGCGATACCTGGGATCTACTCAACTTGTTTGTGAAGGAGAGCCCACCAAATCTACACGTATGTGCCAAGCAGAAGAAGCTGTATCTAGAATAAAGGTACGCTTGTCACTATCATATTCTATGTTTATATTTTATGCATAAGTTTTTTTTTTATAATTTTTCTCATCTTTAAAATTATATTTTTATTTCTTTAATATCAAAATTTCTTTAATTATTCCACATTAAATTAATCTAATTTAAATCTTTGAAAGCATATCCTCATGTTTTAATATTTTAATCAATTGATATATGCATATTATATTTTGATATTGAATTACAAACAATCTTTTTACAAAAGTTAGAAGTTAAAAAGTTAAAATTATAATTATAATTAACATTAAAGTTATCCGATATTTATTTTCTTATATTTTCATTGTTTTATAATTTAAGAATTATATTAGAGATTATATTTTCGTTGTAATTTTATTAATATATTCAATTAATATTTTGTATATAAAAACAATTTTTTATCTAAATAATTTTATATGCTCGATTATTTTTTAGATAATATTTTTTTGAAATTAAATAAAATATAAAATATTATATTTATTATATTTATTATATTTATTATATTATTTATAATATTATATTTATTATATTATTTTTTTAATTAATTTTTATATAATATTTATGTATAAGATATATTATTATCTTATATTTCTATGTTTGCTTAGTTTTAGTGATAATAATAATTCTATTATTAGCTATGCATAAATTAAGACATATAAAATGAAATATATAAATATTATAAGTTTACAATTATTGCAAAAAAAAATGTACCTTTTTATCTTAAATTAAACAATTTATGTATTAATTATTTAAAAATTTTTAAAAGATTCTAATAAATTGCTTCTAATAATTGTAAAAGATCTTCTTTTGCATTTTTTTTTTAAATAGAATCATTATTTAGATAGCTGTTATCATACATAACATGAACTTAAAATCATTAAATTTCATTTAATTCAACTATCATTAAATTTGCATAATTAGTTTAACGAAGAATACTATATATATATACACAAAAGAAGTTTTAGATTTGATTTTAAAAATCAAAAAATATCAAGAAAAACTTTTCTATACTGTTTTTGAAAATTATTTCATTAAATAATTCATTTCAAAATTTAAAATATTCATTTTTAGTTACATGTATAATATTGAATAAAAATATAATTCTATCTATTTATATATTTCGTATATTTCAAAGAAAAAAATTACATTTTATGTTGCATATAATAATGAAAATGAGTATATGAAATTTTCAAATCTTATAAGATATATAATAAAAGAGTTAACGTATAATAAAGAGTACATAAAAAAGTGTCAATATTCTATTATTATTTAGATAATGTATTTTAATTTTTTTATTATATTTTCTTTTAATTTATTAATGTTATTGAGTTGCTTTTTACTTGCTTTAAATATTTCTTAAATTATACAAAATATTTTTAATAATTAGATTGATGATGAATGAATTAGTTATTTTAAAATTTTCATATCTTTTGAATTAAAGAATTGCTGTAAATAACTTTTGCGATGATAACATTATTTTTCTAAAAAATGAAATCATCATCTTTAATATAAAGTGCATATTTATTTAATTATTTATCTACTTAATGTGTTTATTCACACGCTTGATATATGAAATTATTTGTTTTCTCACAGTTATCAATATCGATTTAAACAGTTTTTCTTTCCTTAAATCATAGAAATATAATTTTTTCATTTAATATATTTTGTTGTATTACGACATATATTGCCTTGTTATATTATATACGAACGTTTTTTAAATTTGTATAATATGTATTCTTGCTTTTTCAACAATTTACCTTTTAGTTTTCTTCATATTCTTCGAAATAATTTGTAAAATGCGAAAATTTATTTTTATAAAAGTAATATTATTCATAAATAAAAAGTTTTTATATTTATTTTTATTTGTAATCAAATAGTTATTGAAGAAAATTTAGAGTATAAGAAAATAAGAATAGAAAATATATTTTTTAATTTTATCGATCAAAGTTTCATGTTTATATTTTTTCTCCAACTTTTTATTGTTTTTATTTTATTTTTATTGTAACTTTTATTGTTTTATAAATTTGTATTTTTTTTAGAAATAACATGGAATCTATAAATTTAAAATATACATTTTTTTTGTTTCAAATATACGAAATATATAAATATGTAAAATATTTTATATTTTTGTTCATATTATATTTAACAATATAATTAATACGAATACTTGAGAACATTTTATAGATGTAAAAGATTTGCATGCAATATAAATTCTTTTTATATGATGCTTCAATATGACTCTTTAATAAATGTATAATATTATTATAATAATATATATAAAATAGAAAAATTATTTCAAGTAATTGTTATTATGTTTAATGTTTACTTATTTATAAGATGTTAATTCCAGAATATTTTTAGAGATCGATTTTAGAAGTTAAAATAAACATTAAATTTATACAAATATCGATTAAGATTACATTTATTAAATTATAAGCATTTAAAATTTGTACTTCATTCTTTTCGTTTTATTTAAATTTGCAAACTTCAATTGCTTATAACTTAATAAATAAGTTTAACCGATATTTCTATATATATATATATATATATATATATATATATAAATGAATATATTAGTATTTATATTATGCAATTATCATATATCTATCTAATTATAAATTAAATCATATATATTAAATCTTATTTTATGAAATAATTAAAAATAAACTCAAAGAAAAAAATTAATAGAATAATATATATATATATATATATATATATATTATATATACATATATATATATATATATTATATATGTAATATATATGTATATATATATATACTGTATTATAGATTTTAGGGTAAAAAATAAAATGATAATAAATGATAAAGCAATCGCATAATAAAACATGAATTTTAAAATTATTTATAGTTTTATAATTTTTTGATAAATATAAAATATACAAATAATATATATAATCTATGATCAGTTTTAAAAATAAATGAAAAATTAAATTAAACAAAGATAGAAGAAAATAATTATTACAAAAATTTTTATCAATTTCGAATGTTGTAACAATTATAAAAAATATATAAATATGTACAAGATATACAGAATAATAATAGATTGATAGAATATTTTTAGATTAATTTTGGAGAACGAAAACAACGTGATACACAATAATTCAAATTTTATATAGAAGTGCAAATAACTCTTTAGCAAAAAATACTCTTATGCAAAAAATATTATAATTATATAAAAAAAGATTTTTTTATATAATTTTATATTCAATAAATTATAATTTTATATTACTAAATATCATGATAATTTCTTACTAATACATCAAATTTTTGAGAATATAATGAAATAAAATTCAATTATGATTATCTGCAGATTATGAGTGAATCGTGATTAGAAAATTACACGCTTTACTTTTGGCCGTGTAATCAAGTCTTCTTATGAGTTATATATTACAAGTATGACAGCTATTGTGTGGAACATCGATTGTCATTCAAAATTATATCGATTAAACGAAGTTTAATATTGATTTATAAAGTTTATAAAATTTCTATAAATACTCAGGGATTTTTTTTTTATTCATTGTTCTTCTCTTCGTTTTTGAATTCTTTTTTCTTTTTTTTCTTTTTGGAAAATAATTTTTTTGCATTGATAAACATTTCCAATTAAAATATCTATTTGACATTTATGTTTTTTAAAGTAGTACCTAAAAAACAATCCTCTTTTATTCATTTGATTAAAAATTCTAAATAGAAACTCTTTTCTACTCTTGAAATTTCTAATTTTTAATAAAAAATTATTATAATTTCTATATTTTAAATATAATTAAATTTCTATAATTTTTGTATATATATAATATTTTTTTCTAGAAACCAAAAAAACATTTTCAATTCATAAATCCGCTACATTAAAATCTATTTTCATGATCTGTTTTTAATAGATTTAAACCTAATCTCATATTAATAATTATTTTAATTTTTTTATTGTCGATATTTCCTCGACAATCAATAACTTTAAAGATGGATTTATTTTCAATATAATGAGGATAATAGGAATCGAAGCCGGAGATTCCTTCTTTATATCGATTTCTGATTTTTCTTTTTTTTATAGCAATCTTTCTAGAAATTCTTGCTGTATATGCAACATGTAATTTTATTGTTTCTTTCTTGCTTTTTTTATCTTATTATTTTTTCATCTTGTAATACAAAAATAAAAATAGATTTGTATTTTAGTTCTCGAGATATAATCTGGACAGCTTCCATCTTCAGAACTCTAATAATAGTAGTCATTACAGATACGAAGCCTCTAAAAAAAAAATTTTTTTAATTTTTTCGTTGATCAATGCTGTAACAAATTGAGATGTGGTTTTTAATTTATCCCACGTTTCTGAAAGATAATTAACAAAAATCATTTGATCTTTCAATTTCGGCAGCTAACGTTAAGATCGATCCCTCTTTTCCCTGATGACAATTTTGAAATACAATATAATTTAAATTTGATAATAAATTTTTTGGATAAACTAAAAAGGAATTTAATTGAACTTGATTTTGAATAATTGGAAAAACAATCGGCGAGAAATTAATATGCTTCGCGCCAAATTCTTTGAATGAAGTAATCAAATCATAATCTTAGTGACCTCATCCCACACATTTGCCTACATCATCATCTTGAATTATGAATTCTCTTTAAGATGAAAATCTATCAAAATATGAAATGATATTTTATCACATATTTAAATGATATGTGACTTGTACTTGCGAACGCTGATAAATGAGAGTTTGAAAATAAAATATTAGCGAGAATAGTTGTCTATCCAAATATAGTTATATAATTTTTAGTATTTAGAAAGGCAGTTATCTCTCTCATTCGTTCAAATATTCTAGGATTATTATTAAATATAAAAAAAACAGTGATTCATTGATTCGCTGGATTTGCTCTTCGAAACGAGCGATTCGTTCATCTATTATTTCTCATCATTGGATTTCCACTTTTTCTATCACTGCTTCTTTATATAGATTCTTTATATATTTG